TTAGTTTTACGATCATTTTCGATTTGATCAAATGTTTCGTATGTATTGAAAATAGAGTAATACATTTCCTTTTCTTCGTCACATACAAAAAGTAACGCCTTATAGTAACGTTTACCATTGACGTTCGTTTAATTTGCATGTTATTTAATCGTAAGTCTTTTATTATTAGGGATGTATCAAAATAGAAAAACATTTTTTACTTATTCGAATTGTAAATACTATTCTGTTTTTTTAACTCAAATTTCCTTATTTTAGTTTACTAAAAAGTGTTTTCTGTTAAAATATTCAATTCTTTTATTGCGCGTGACATGTAATGTTGGCTAAAAATGTCTAGGGATGTGCTGTAAATATTTGCCAGTTAAATATTATTTAAGATTGTATACAAAGTTCATATTTTAGTTTGTTAACATCGAAATGAAAACAGTAAATTTTCCTCTTATTGTACATATACCTGTGTTTAATAAATCTTTTTTCTGATTCTGCATTTTTAATTTAACATGAACTATAGTATCTTGATTATACAGGGTGTTCACTATAAATAACCTACTCCGTTATTTCTTACGATGTCAAGTTTCGAAATTCTCGTACCTATTTTTAAACGCAATTATCAAGAAGGAGTTCTGTTGATTTACATAAAAACATGCAGTGCTTCGTAAGAAAAAAGTCTCCAAGTTCATGTTGAAGCTAATCCTAAACTGCTTCTTGGATGTAAGAGAGCAAGCTAATTTTTGCTGGAATACCTTCAGTGCAACTCACTAATAAAAGTGTAAATCCCTAGATCTGGGCGAGGTCCGGAACATTTTCAAAATTGCAAAAATGTTTAAAAAATACCTATTTTATCTGAATTTTTTACTTATATCTTAGAACCTATGCATTTTGGAAGAATATTGAAGAGGAAAAAAGTTTTAGAATTGAATTTTGTACAATATGCTGTAAGTTAAAAATGTTTAAATTTATTACCGATGTTGCAAAATAGCAATAATTAAAGAAAAAAAGGCAAAATAACCAAGTTTATTGGATATATATTTTTAAATATTTTAATTGCTCCGAGGGCATTCTAAGTTTGGTAAAACAAACTTTAGCGAATAATAAAACAACACACCAACCGGTTCTATAGTTTTCGCAAAATAATTTTTTGAAAAAATTCTGAAAAAAAATTTCGAATTTTCAAAATGTTGCACAGCAATACTCGAAATTTTTTTCACATTGAAAAGACCGCTCAACCTCAAATCGTTTTTGAAAAATTGAAATCGGTTGATTAAGACGACGATCATAGTAAAATTTTAAAGTTAACACTCGTTTTTTTTTATTTTTAAACATTTAGATTACATTCATTCATCAATTTGCAGTTTAATTTTTAGGTATAGTATAAAATTCAATTCTAAAACTTTTTTCCTCTTCAATATTCCAAAGTACATAGGTTCCAAGATATAGCTAAAAAACTCAGATAAAATCGGTAATTTTCAAATTTTAAAAAAAAATTTTTGCAATTTTGAAAATGTTCCGGATCTCGCCCAGATCTAGGGATCTACACTTTTATTATGTGAGTTGCACTGAAGGTACTCCAGAAAGAATATGCTTGCTCCATCTCACATCCACCATCCGCCGTTATCTAATATTCAGGGCTATCGTACATAAATTAAAGGCATTTTTTTTTCGGAAAACTTAGCCAGCAGCAAGTCACGAAATGTCTTATTTTTGTTTTAAACTCAGACCAAGTAAATATTATTCAAATCTCATTGCGTAAGAAATAACTTTAGGGGGTAACCATCGCTATTCCATCCCCAACTTTATTTTTACTTAACAGTAAAAAAATAATTAGACTATTAATAAAAAAAGTGATAATATAACTGAAGTAGGTACTTGTGTTATGGAAATAGTTCGAATTGCCTGCCATTTCGAAGCATTTTATCATTTTCGTTCTTAATGGTCTAGGGAGCAGTTATTTTTAAATTAGCATAAAAATACATTTGAGGATGATATATTAATGATCATTTCCAATAACTACTCTTTAAACTACATGTGGGATTTTAATAACACACCTAAGTGCCCTGATACTCTAATTTTAAAATACGAAAAAGATATCTCGAAGAGGTTTGGAGATATCGCAAAAAAATTCACCTGCACGCTTTTATCTAGAATGTATTTTATTATTTTTTTTATTATTATTTTATTAATTTATTATTTTTTACTTTATTATTCCTCTTGAAATCTGTAACGAATCTGATTATTTACTATTGACATAAGAAAAAGATAGTCAGTATACTGGAACATTTGTCGTGTAACACCCTGTACAATAAATATTAGTTACAACATGAGTTAAGTTAATAAATTTTTGTTTTAGGAATCTTCGAATACTATTAGAGTAGATTATTCTACGGGGAATTGTAGAAGTTATTGTTTAGTTAGACGTAGCTCGTTATGATTTGTTTAGTTTTTGAATTTGTCGTAAGTGAAGACTTAGTTGTAGAGTAAAAACCCATTTTGCGACAGGACATCCTGTTTTGCATGCAGGCAACATTGTTGGTCCTCGTAATTTCTATTCTGTTCTCGTGAATTAACCCAGGAATAAAATATTTCAGATGCGCTTTGTAGCTCAGAGAAAGAAAACCGAACAAAGAAGTCAAAGAAGTCTAAAGCCAAAGATCCAGATACCATAGATATATCCGCGTTGACGGAACTCTTCATGTGCACCAAATGCACCAAAACTTACCGATTACGCCACTCTCTGACTCGCCACGTAAAGTTCGAGTGTGGCAAGGAGCCGAAATACGCCTGCAGCTTGTGTCCCAGAAAGTTCAAGCATAAGTACGACCTGAACGTGCACGAGAGAGGGAAGCACTCCGCCACCAAAGAACCGAAGATCAAGCGGAGCTCTGACGAGATATTTATTCCGGAGATAATGATATTCAATGAGACTGGTTAGATGTAGAACTAATTTTACCTTTGAAATAGTTGTATTTTAATTTTTTGTTTTTCTTCTATTTAAATGACGATTATTACTGGATGACACTGGCATATCAGTATTTGGGCGGGTATTTTTTCCAAAAATTTTTTTCTAGGATTTAGTTACACTTAAGATAAGTACAATTTAGTATAAGTTTTAGTTATTTCCAAAGCAAGTGCCTTCGACAATTGACTGTAAAAGGCTGTTAGATATAAGTCACGTTAAGAAACTTTCTTACAATTATTAAGAAAATATGATTTTTCTTTTTGACCATTGACTGCTGATAACATAAATAAAACTAGTTTCTCCGAAGACATATCATTTTAATGTTATTAGTTTCATGATTATCAGTAGGTACACTGTAATTTTTAGTTTTAAGTCCTAAAACATAAGTTTTTTATTGCTAATTTAATTTTTTGCTTTTATATTTACATACTTTTTTTGTTATTTAATTTTTGTACCTGTTTACATCTTTTCAAACAATTGTTAAGTATTTAGAGAACATTTTATAAAACCTGTTTTACATGTACCATCAAAAATTTCAAACAAATTTGATGAAAAGGACTGCGCTGTACCTTAGCCAATGTTTTTATCAATTTATTGGGTCAAGCATTGGTAAATGTAAAACAAGTATTAAGAATACGACACGCAGAATATTTATACTATTATTTCTCATAATATCAAAATTCTTAGTTTCTTAAATTAGTATTTGTGTTTTTTTTTGTAGTATATTTGTGATCATTTGTTCGATCTCGAATTTAGAATATATATTGTCAAGAACAAGTTCTTTCATTTTCTCCTAACATACTTAAATATCATTTATTCTGATATTCAGCAAATAATTTAATGATTTTAGTCTTTATGCTTCAATTTATTTTTTTAATTTTAAAAATACCAAAACAAACATAAATACCAAGAAATTTACTCATACTTTAAACATGGTCCACTACACTTTAAAACATGATAAAAAATAATGAAGAAAATTTAAGTAACAATAACATAAACAGATACATTCTTTTTTTGCAGATAATAATAATTTTTCGGGCTGTTTCCTTGTCAAAACAAACAACAAAATAGGAGTAGTATTTTTCCTAAACCAATATCCAAGTTCTCTATGATCTCTTAAATATTTCAGTGGTATCGGAATTAGAAATCATCAAAGGTGTTTCAACTGTCAAAAGAAGTTATTTCAGGGGTAGTCTGGCGAATAAATCCAGCATTCCTATAATTATTGAAAAATTGGAGCAAAATGATCGTCGCTGATGACGAGCGCTTAACTTTGGCACAAAGGGTACAAAAGTTTTATTTGAAATTGGTTTATAGATTCTTTTGGACGTCAAAAAACCCTTCATTTCGACTTCACTGGTTAGTTTTCGATCTTATTTTGTATATAACTAACACTAACGAGGGAACTGGATCAAGTTTGTAGTCTACATCTTCAATAATATTTAAGTAATTTCGAGAAGAATCATCCCTGAAAGTTTATCGCGACGACGCTGTTAACAGGGTATAAAAGTATGTTCTAAAAAGAGGTAAGTTATAAAAAGTAAAAAAGATTTGAATTTTTTAAATTATCTTCAACGTTTATTTTTTTTATATTTTAACTAAACTACGTTTTGGAAGCTGCATAACTGTTAACATAACTCTGGATATTGGAATACATTCGAAGTAATTAATGATTTAATGTCCATATAATGTAGGTATTGTCTTTCCCATCAGTTAACAGCACCTGAGTAACGCAAAAGGTAGTAAAAAATTAAACTGTTGAAACTATGAAGCTAAAAATTATTTGGAAAAAAATGTTGGAATTTACCAATTCGATATATTTGGATATACCAATATAGTTTGTTAATAATATAATTTTTTATAGGTAATTGCACCAAAACCGGAAAACATTGGAGATCACCCAAATCACAATTTGATGATATGACTAACGAAAAAAATAATTTATTTCAACGACCGTCTCCGTTAACATTACTTTTAGGAGGTATTAAATCAGATTTACTTTATCCTAGTCATTTTTAACAATGCTGTTATTTGTAGTGGAAGACAAATTGCCTCACTATACCGCTCCTATCAATGAAATGGAGGTGCAATCGATATTTGAGAAAGCTTGTGCAAAGAGAATGATTACATTGTTGCTCGAAGTAAGGGAACAAAACAATAAGATTTTAGCCACAATTACTAAACAGGCACTGACAAATATAACCGACTTTCTTGCACCGGACTTACCAGTGAATTTACCAGTGCAAAGCGAAGAAGATTTGAATGAACTTTGCATATATCTTTCTTGCAAAGCTAATGTTGAGACCCTGGTAATCATAGGTATATTTTTCAGTAGCAGTGTTTCTCTGTAGTTTTGATTTTTAGGCTAAATATTTGTCCTCGGTTGGAGGAAGCAACTTGAGCAACAAAATTAATAACATATTGAAACGTTGTATTTCAAACGAAGTGGCAAGAAACTATAATTTTCGAGGGCGCAGGGAGGGGAAGAGAGCTTTTCAGGACTTGCCATTAAAGGAAGTCGTAATACGTAAGTTTGTAATTATTTGTTTGCTACATTCTTTGTTAATTTTTTATTCAAATGCATATTTCTGCTACCCTGAAAAAAAAAAACACTAAGAAAGTAGATAATGTTTAATTCATAATAAAGACTCTTACTTCTTTAGGAGCTGCTAAATTAGGACATCCAGATTCCACAGAAATCGATATAGAGAATTACATCAAAGTTTGGCTTAAACATGCCCCCCAAAGATACAAAGTAAAGGAACACAAACTGGAAAAACTTAATAAAATTGTAGATGTGTCATAATTTAACTTAACTACGATTGTGAAAACAATGTGAAATTATATACATACCTATAATGTTTCTTTTACGTAACAATAAACATGTTTTGAGGCTTATATTTAAATATACTGTATGTAATAATGTAGTTTCGTAACGTTTATTATTTACGAATAATATTATCCCTCTCCTCCTGCCTCAAAACTTGTGTTTAGTGACAATATGAGATGTAAAAATTTATTCCCATTAACTGCCCAATTTTATTTTAGAATCTCATCAGTGCCCCCAGTGCTACAAATATTACAAAAGACTAGATTCACTGAAACGTCACCTTCGTGTGGAATGTAACAAGCCAGGAACATATTTTTGTCGAATGTGCCATAAAGTTTTTAAACACAACTTTTATTTAAAAGTTCACCAAGAACGCCACTGTAAGGTTCTGTTACTGGACTGACAATGAAATGGCTTGCACAGAATACTAGTCATTTTAATTGAAATACTTTCTCCTGGGAATTTATATATACTTTATTTTTTATTTTTCCAACATACGAGTATTTTAAGTCTTGGAGTTTTAATTTAATTTAAGATATGAGTGTACATTTGTTCTAACGAAAATTCGACTCCCACTAGTTTTATACAAAATGAAAATTTTAATAGTATATGAATTATTATCGATGTTAGTTTGTATTTTGATTGCTATATATCGTTATAAGCTTATTAAGTTTTCTTTAGAACACATTGTACATATGAAACAATGTAATTGAAATTATAAAAATTATAAATAATATTTGTAGACTGACATCTTTTCTAGCTTAATAAAAAAAACATCTGTTATCTTTTATTAATTTATTTTTAAGGTAAACAATATATTTTTCTTAGATTATAGACATACATTTTTGAACCGTTCTTTTTTAGTACGTCCTTTTCGCTGTACCCAGTGTTTGAAGGTTTATAAAAGACAGGATTCATTGAGGAGACATCAACGGTTGGAGTGTGGAATACAAGCCCAGTTTATTTGCGAATATTGCAAGAAATCGTTTAGATATAAATTTATTTTGAAGAAACACATAAATCTGAGATGCAGACTTTTTCCCCGAAAATAATTCAATAATTAGTTCTGTTAATAAAAATCTGCTGTCTATTATATTTGTATATAAAACCTTTCTAAAGTTTTATTTAACATATTTCTGTCGCTGAAATTTATTTTTATAAAGTTACACAAACGCTCTGATCCACTAAGAAAAAGGAAATCCTACTTTTTTTTAATAAAAAAAATCAGCTCACAAAATAACTATTAATATCACAAATTGCATCGATTTGTAATGCAAAATATTTTTTTTATTTCGGTTTTAGTTTCAAAATCTTTGGAAATGCCTGAAGATGTAAAAATTTGCCAAATACTGTCTGTCGATTACAATAAATTGGTCTGCATATAAATTATTTTCATAATTTTTGTCAGGACTCCTATTTGTCAACACTGTCAGCAATTGGCTAAGTTTTCATCTTAATTTCATCTAGATGATTTTTAAGTTGAAACAAAAAAAAATAAAATAAAAAACCAAAAATTACTTTTCATTATAAATTGATAAAATTTGAGATACATAAAAATTCATAGAGTGCCAAAAATAAAACATCGTAATTGATTCAGTAATACCCATCAATTTGGCACTGATAAAAATGGAATTCGTAAATTTTTTTAACCAAACAGACCCGAGTAATTTTGCATTAATCTATATTAGCGCTTTGAAAAGTGATTTGGCGTGCAAGATTTCAATTTTTTTATTTAAAACCATGTCCCGGGTTCTCCTTATTTTAGTTCATAGTAGCTCACTGTACAAACTCAACCTTATTTGTAAAATTTGGTCTGATGGCTTGTGCTGCAGACCATTTTTTTTTCCAGCTGTAAGATGAAACGTTTGTTTTAGTTTATCCGTATACCTGCCCACAGTGCAACAAAAGCTATAGAAGGATCGACTCTCTGAAGCGCCACCTAAGGTGCGAGTGTAAGAAAGAGGGAAAATGGTCATGTCCCGTATGTAAAAAAATATTCAAGCACAGATATAATAGGACCACACATATATTTAAAATGCATGGGTTGTATCCTCGTTAATATTTTCTATAGACTTCTACTGTTTATTTCAGCTAATTACTTGTGATGATTTTGAAAACTTGGTGCTTTGTATGTAAATAATATAATATAAAAATTTACTGGTAATTGATCTTTTATTTTTTGTAAAATAGGTAAAGGAACTGAACACAAACACTTTAAACTTAAAATATGTGAAGGAATTATTCAAAACATAGGTAAACCAAAGAGATACTAAATATTGTCTGCTGTTTTAAACGTTAAATTTGTTGTAATGGAGCTTCTTTAATATCAGCTTAATATTAAAATATAAAGCATTATGTCTAACATTTTTGTTTTAGGTTGGCAGTGTGACACTTGTGCCAAAACGTACAGCAGGAAACAGTCCTTAGCGAAACACAAAAAATTCGAATGTCAACGTGAACCTCAGTTCAAGTGTCCTTATTGTGCTCATAAGGCTAAACTGAAATATAATCTGAAAAAACATATAATTACTGTTCACAGAAATGTAATTGATATAAATACAGATAATTTGTATTGATCTTATTGTTAATTATATCCATTTGTTTTACAGACCTTGATAAATAATCTTAACTGTTTCTATTTTTTCAAATATTTTGTAGGTAAATTTTAACATTCTCTATTCAATCTAATAGTCTAATGTGAGATTTCGATTTACACAAACAAATTTTTACGCATTTAAATGATACACTTTTAATTTTTAGAAGAAAAGTACTCTTCCGAAATTTTCGAAAAACCCTACCTTTGTCCGTGTTGTAAGAAATGCTACAAACACAAGCGGAATCTCCAAGTGCACATGAAAAACGAATGTGGAAAAACGCCTAAATGGATTTGCCCGTATTGCCTTCACCGGTCTCATCGAAAATTCAACATAAATCTACATATTAAGCATATGCACAATGTCGATACCATTATACAGTAATAAATTATGAACTTACAAAACGCTTAATAAATAGATTAAAAAATAATAAAAGTTTTAAGCGTTTTTTCACCACTTCCACGAAGCAAAATAACAACAAAAAAAATAGCTGCTATTTCAGCTGTCAATAGTTGACTATTGCTATGCTCGTTGCCACGTCATTCGCCTAGATTTTTTGGCGTTTCAAGGAATATATCGCTCTCTTCTTCAGAAACAACTCTGAAATTAATTTTCCGAAGGAAAGAGCAATATGTCCCTCAAAAACCTTTTTCCAACTGCAAAATCAATGTATTTATCAATGAAATCTGTGCTGTCGGACAGACTCAAGCTTAATTTAATTAAAATACTCCCAGAATTAAACCTAGACATTGTTTGCCCCTTTGACTATAAAAGAATATTCACAAGGAAAACCATATTACTAAACAAAGTAACAACGTCTTTTGTTGTAGGGGGTGGCACAACATGCCCAAATTGTAAGAAAGTGTACAAAAATACCAAGAGTCTCACAGCTCACATGTATCAAGACTGTGGCAAGGAGAAGAAGTACAGTTGCTCCTTTTGTTTGTTGAGTTTTAAGAGGAGGCATAACTTGAAAACACACATGTACAGGCGACATAGACATAACGATTTTTTCGATAATTTGAAATGAAGATATAATTTTAATCAAATGGGTTTGCCATATAGGTATATGTTATATAATAGTAATAGATAGATGTATTTATTTATTTATATTGAAAGAATAATTAATAATAGATGTAGGTAATAATAGTTATTTTTTAACGATTAAATGTACAAGTAATAAAGTTTTTGTAGAAATGAATGCACTATATTATTTGAAAAATTGAACTAAAAAATTAGTTTCGAGCTTGAAATAAAAAAATACAAATAAATATAAGAGATTTTTTTCCGTTTGTGTGTAATTCTATTATATTTTTGAGTTACTACAAAATGATTAAAAAAATTTTCTCAACAGTTCATCTTGTATGTACATATTTAATGTGATTTTATTTCTTTTTGTATTTCATTTTTGTTTTTATCTCGTATCCACTCATGTAGGAAGAAACGGCAAATTGTAAGTTCTTATTTTGGCACAACTGAAAAACCTATCCATTTTAATATAATATTTGCATTTGCAGGACTGACTTGCCCCAAGTGCCAGAAGAAGTACAAGAATAAAAATTCCTTGTCGGTGCATATTTCTCGAGACTGCGGTCGAAAAGCCGTGTTTGTTTGTAACAGCTGTAACAAAGTTTTTAAGAGGAAAGAATATATAAAACCTCATTTACTAGTTAGTCCTGGCTGTAATATGAATAACTTTGAAATTAACTTTTCAAAAATTACTCAGTGAAGTTTCATATTTATTCGATTTTATAAATTTTTTTTAATTGCAGATGCTTACACAATTTTATAAACTAATAAACAACATACATGTTAAATTTATTAACAAATTCCTGTGTATGAAAATAAAAAAAATCAATCACATTTCATTTGTTTTGCTTTTCTAGTAAGTTAACTACGAATAAACTTTACTTATTTTATATCGTTTGTAAAAAAAATAGTCCATACTGACATAAACAAATACGCATTTCTGACTCACAATCAGATAGAGGGAGATTGAGAAAGAACGCATCCGTTTAGAAGGAATAAGACGTAGGTGCGTATTTGTTGACTAGAGCTCTCTCAGATGCAAACTTATTTGTCTGGGTCTTGTATATATATATGATACGTCTAGAGAATACTTACAAATAAAAAAATACAGGTACCTTTACATCATGAGACCAACAACTAAAGATGAAATTAAATATTTATTTATGTAACTATTCCACCAGTTCTATTGTGTACATACATATATACAGTGTGTTCACGTTATGTTCCGAAGAAGAAAACGTTGCATATTTACAAGAAAATGTAATTTTTTGCAAAACTTTGCTGCTTGCTTTTTAAACTTTTGATATTGTTACAATTTTCTTGATTCTATTTATTCACAATGTTAAAATTTAATAAAAATATAAGAATGACCAAAGCACCAATTTTTTTTATTATGGAAAAGTTTCACAAAAAGATATGTAGATATTTATATTTGGCAAAGAGGAGTTAGAA